TATTTTCCAAAATATAAGTCTCACATCTTTGATTCATATAATTACATACTTAAATGGAAAAGAAAAAAGTGTAAGAACCCTAGGCTCCCTCATGTACTGTTTCTACATACTTAGACAATTGATATAGCAGGTCCAGACTTATAACTTCAGAAGAATTCAAATAAACTAATAATTTAAGGGGCCCTATCTTTGAAAATGAAAGGCAATTACACACTGGCATGAAACCACAGTCCATCACCTAATAGATTCAAAAGTAAAACCAAAAAACGGATGAACCTTGCAAACACGCTAAGTCAAAGAAGCACATAATTGCATGATTCCATTTATAAGAAATATCTAGAATAGGCAAATCCATAGAGACAGAAAATAGATTGGTAGTTGCCAGGGGCTGGGGAAAATGGGGAGTGGGAGTGACTGTTAATGGGTACGGGATTTCTCTTTGGAGTGATGAAAATGTTCTAAAATTGATTGTGATAATAATTGTATAACTCTGTGAATATACTAAAAACCAATTAATTGTATAGTTTAAATGGGTAAATTGTCTTGTAAATTATATCTCAATAACGCTGTTATTTTATAAAAGGCAAAAGATCTATTCAACTAGTGCATGGAGATCATAAAATTGACTTTTAATGTTTGATTGGAAGATTTGTTTTGCTGGATTTTACAGATGTTCTTCAATGAAAAATGACATTAGGTTTAAGAAAACAGTCACTATTTCTAGAAATTTTTTTCTCAATAGGACAATATTTGAACATTTCCCACATATATGAGTGTGCAGCGCCCACAAGAGTGAAGGGGGGGAGACAGAGATAGACAGAAAACTAGGTTTATTTGGAGTGACAGTAGGCCAGTCTAAATACTATATTGCAAAATAATTTAGCTAAAAAACTGGACACTTATAATGCCACAGGCAGCTGGGAGGGATCCGGGAGTGTGCCGGCAGCATGAATATTAGTCACTAGTTAAATAAAAACTTCCAAGCCTTACCTGCTGAGATTAGGACACCTGAAGTCTTTAAAGTCTTTATATAATATTAAAAGTCCCTTTCAGAAATCCCCATTGCCCACACGGAAATTTTATAAAGTTAACAATTCACTCTTTTGCTTTTTCCTCAACAATAAGCTTCTCTACTATAACGAAATCACATCACATCCCTTCTGTGACTAACAAACGTTTTATTTCACAGCCCCTGATAATCACCTACAAAACCCAAAATTACCAACAGTCATGATTTTGTTACCCACAGTTACTGGGACGAGCTACTGAACACTAGAATACAGAGCACAAAACCACAGCAGAGTCAACCACTGATATCTCATCACAAGTTAACACCAGGTGTCCCCAAAGCCAGAGCTCTTGTGGTTCCATCAAGTTATGCCACCACCGGAATATAATACCAAGTCACGCAAGGTGGTCGAGCTCCCAAGGCTCAGCAAAGGCCTGACGTGCTACCAGCTCCCCTCAGTGGGTGGTGATAACAAGAAGATAAAATCGTCCCTACAACCTACCCCCTCCTTCCTTCCCAGAGCGGAGCGGGGGCTTTCCGGAGACCCCCCACCCGGAACCGGAAAAGCGACCATCTTCCCTAACACCCCCTCCCAGCCGGAAGTGGAGCGTAGCCAGCCGGCGCACTCACCCTGAAAGAACAGGACGCTCAGCAGTGGGAAGAGAGCGCGGCCACGGCCTCCAGCCGCTCCGCTCTGCTGCATCCCGACAGCTCTCTAGATGCTCGCACACCTTGTTTATGGGTCCCAGTAACGACACAGGTAACACCGGAAGTGACGTCGGGGCGGGAGGCAGCCAGAAAACTAAATGGCGATCCGAAGTTGCCATAGAAACATGGCTTCTTTCCAGAACCGCACCTGGTTTCACTGACCATCGATTTCTTAACTCTCAAGTGGGAGCTAATTGCTCTCTTTTGCTTGAAAAGACGTAAGCTACAGACTTGGCAAATTTTTAATTTTGTTTTTATGGAATTCTACAGGACTAGATAATCTTGATCCTCTGTATTGCAAATATTGTTTTTATCTCTAGAGATTATCTTAGTTGAATGCTCTCAGAATAGATTTACATAAATTTAGAGTTCAAAGAGACCTAGGAAGTCATACAGGATCACTCAGTAGGTAAATATGTATTAGGCCCTTATGGTGATATGTGCCACAAGTCTCTTTGATTCCTGTCTTCTTTAGTGTAGCTATTATAACATCCAGAATTGGGTGTTTATTAAATTGTTATTGACAGTGGCAATAATGATCAAATCATTACAGCCTATAATAGAGGAAAAAGAGAACTAGGATTTGTGTATCTTTTGGTTGGAAAAGTAGGAAGGTTATGTTATCACAGTACTTGAAGTGAAATGAGATGGTGTCACATCCTTCTGGAAAAGAAAGGGTACAGTACCCTGCTTTAGTCATTAGGAAGCCTATTCTCCAGGATTGCCACATATTTAATGAAAGCATGATGAAGAGTATGCTTCAGCTTTTGGGAAGAATTAATAACTCTCCATTTTTCAACTCCCACCTCTTTACTAGACTAGAAAGCTGGTAGTTTTCCCTATTCAAACTGTAATTCAAGAGTACCAAATAGAATCTTTGATACATTCCATTGAAGGGGTTCCCAAACTAAGTGGTGTTGGTATGCTCAATTCCCAGCTATCCAAAGTGATGTGAAAATTCTGGGGAAATCCCTATACTTTTGTATATCCAGTAGAAACTAATGCTGTCCATTATTGACTTCCAGGTTGTCTCCACTAAAAAAACTTTTCAGGGAAGATAAAATATATATCCATCTGTTTTCTGTTACCTGCTGTGTGGAATTTTTAGATTTGTATATAAGCAAGTTATGTAATTGATAATACTTTATTACTGAAGGTTTATTTACATAGTGTTTAAGGCATAATAAAAAATAAATTACAATACAAAAGTGCTCTTTAGGAAGGAGACACTAAACAACAAGCTGTATTATCCCTTGAGTATTTAGCCAAGACACAAAGTACAGGTTTTGCTGGAAAAACTGTCCATGAGTTTTAACTAATTCTTCGTTATATTTATGGAACATCCTCCAGGCCATCTGTTTGAAGAAATATCCAGTTATTATATTTTCAAAGGTTGAATTTTGAAGAAAAATACAAGATGTGGATTAAGGGTAATACAGACTTCAAATCTAATTTTTAGTTTCAAAACTGAATATTGAAACTTTACTTTTTTAGACAGTATAAAAGTCAGAATGAGACAGGTATGCAATGAATTTCAGAATCAAGGTTTATATGTAAATAATAACAACTTTTAAAAAATAGTATTGGAAAAATATCAAATTCCATTAACTTTAAATACAAGTAATCTATTTCAAAATTCCAGTTTGTTAAAAGAAGTAACATCTGCAGCCCAGTTGATGGAAACCGAAGATATCAGGTTGCAAAGATTGGTCTTTAACCTAAACTTTTAGACATTTTCTATCCTTTGAACAAATGCTACTGTAGCTAAAGTTTGGAAAGACACTAGAAAACACAATTTTTAAAAGACACTCTTTCCATAGCCTACTTATAAAGTTTGCTTTATCTACCAGTATAAGGGAGGAAAGAATAAAGTTGGTGTCATTCAGTTTAAGTAGTTTTGGTATTTCTTTACTCCATACCAAATTCTCCCCCTCCCCGCAAAATAAGCAAGTGAATTACAACCAAAAAAATAAAGAAGAAAAAACTTAATGTCTTTCAGTTATCAGAGCTTTATATAATACTGTACAAAGTTATCATTTAGGGTTGATTTTTTTCACCAGCCCTAAATTTTCAAAATTGTAATGTACTATTTCAGAATCCTTACATTAAACTGCTTAATGATTGATTCCAGTCTGAAAATGACCATAGACTTTGCTCTGTTGTTATAGATCATCGAATTGGGGGGAAAAATATAGTAAGCTATAAGTAAATATAGTAAGCTATAAGTCAATCACTGCTCATGGAAGACCTACACTGTTGATTATTTTTTGCAACATAGAAAAAAGGTAACAAGTAATCCATCCTGAGGTGGCATTTGCCAATCTATTAACATTTATGTAACCTTTTGTAGTTTACTGTATGATTTAGCCTTGTACTATTGTAAACTTTGGATTAATTGACAACAATAGCAGCAAAACCTCTCACCTGGGATATTAAAAGAAATTCAATACAACAAGATGTGTACCATACTTAAGGGGAGCCATAAAAATCAAAATGTTGTTTAACAGTTTGAATTTAAAATTCACTGTTAATCAAAAACAGCTGGGAGACTTAGCTCACTTTTTAATTGAAAATGTAGGAAGGAAAGAGTAAACACATCAACTTTAGTAGTAAGAGTGCTGCTCTAAAGAAACTATGTGAAAGGAAATGTCATGACAGACAATTTGGCTTCTATCCCCTTTAATGCCAATACATGTATATACACGTCATAATCTATAAGGAGTGTTTAAGGGCAAAAATGTAGTTTCTTAGTTTACAAAAGCTAATGAGCATTTGAAAAATATCTGCACTCTGGAATTAAATAAAACCTTAATAATGAGGTTGTGTGTCTGGTGATACCTGCCCGAGAATAACTCTACGCTGGCTCTAGAGGAATGTTGTTTATCTAGGTGGATATGTGCCGCAGAATTGATTGGAAGACAGGTCACAAATGGAAAAGCCGAAGAAAAGTTTCCATTAACTTCAAGAAGTACTAGAGTTCTTGTTCTTGGAAATCTTCAGCTACCTAAAACACAAAACAAAAGTTTAAATGGATGATATATTTGGAAAGAGTGCAATAAGGAGTATTTGGCATTATGAATTGCATATATATATTATTAGATGTTTCCAATTCTAAAGGAAAAAATTCTTAAACTTATTCTCCCCCAAGTTAATTTTTAAAAGAAGTTTCCCAACTCTTATTACATAGTTCTCAGAGTCAATATCCTTAATTCATAGCCTCTAAGTGCCTTGCATAGACACTTGGATGATCCACAACTTGCTTGCACACATACATTCCATATCCTTCCTACTTCTCTCTCTTAGTGTAAACAAAATCAACAAAATCAAGCATACAAAAAAGTAGAGAAGATAGTGTATGGAATTCACCCATCACCTAATTTTGAAGCCTTTTTTTTTTTTTTGGCTAAAGTTTTTAAAGCAAATTGCTGACATTTACCCCTGAAATACTCCAGTATACATTTTTAAAATAGGGACATTTTCCTTATAACCACAATACCATTATTACACAAAATCAAAACTAACAGAAATTCCCTACTATATTCATATATTCAGCATTTTCATATTCAAGACTTTTTCACAATTGCCCCTCCGAGTTTTTTAACAAATAAGTTTTTCAAACTGATATCCATCCAGTCAGAGATCACACGTGGCACTTTGATTGTGTTAGTCTCTTGAGTTTCTTTTAATCTAAAACAGCTCCCATCTTTATTTGGTGGGACCCCAATTTGTTAGAGAATCCACTTATTTTTAAAAAGAACAATGGCCCTTGGTAAAAACTCCCTAATACCAAATTTTGTTTCCTGGTTTTACA